CAGGCACCCCGCAGGCCACACCCCTGCCGCCCGCCCAGCTGTCTGTCCACTCCTTGCCCCTTGCCCCTCGCCCCAGAGCACTCACTTCTCCCCATAGAGGTTGCAGAGCGCCTGCACGTCGCTGTACTTGTTCTTGACGTTGTTGAGGGCCACGGGCAGGTGCAGGGCAGCAGGACCCATGGGCCGCGCGGACAGGAAGGCCTCACACTCCCGCTGCGCCGCCTCCTCCTCTGCTCCCAGGCTCAGCAGCTGCTGGGCGGTGCCCTGGGGTGGGCGGGGCCGGGGGTCTGTGCTCTGGGCAGGTGGGTTTCCCGCCCTCCTGCCGGCCCAGCAGGTGCCACCTCCCCGCCCCCCACACTGTTCACTGTGCAGTCAAGTCCCAGGTCACACAGCCATGCGAGCAGCACGGGTCCAAATTAAAAAAACAGACCCAGACAATGTACTAGTACGTGAAAGGCCAAACCCACATTGCTCCCCCTCCCGCCTGGGCTCCTCCTCCCCCACCAGGTTCGAGGACAGGGCCTTCCCTGTGAGCACTTCCAAGCAGTTCCTTTTTTAATTTTTATATTTTTATTGATTTTCAGAGAGGAAGGGAGAGGTAGATAGAAACATCAATGATGAGAGAGAATCATTGATTGGCTGCCTCCTGCACGCCCCCTCCTGGGGACTGAGCCCGCAACCTGGGCATGTGCCCTTGACCGGAATTGAACCTGGGACCCCTCAGTCTGCAGGCCGACGCTCTATCCAAACCAGCGAGGGCCGGAGTAATTCTCTTGTTCATACACTCTGCCCTCTCCGGGGAGGCCCCTCCACCCCACTCCCCGCCTCCCAGGAGATAACACCCCAAGATGCTCCGGGCTTTCTTGCTGCCCTGGGGCCCTCCCAGGACACATCCAGGGCCTTGACTTCGAGCCCGGCCCTCTAGAACCTTCCCCGGGCCTTACTCCACTTCATCCTCCGAACAACCAGATGAGCTGCATATTCTGTGCCTTCAGGGTGAGGAACCAAGGCCCAGAGAGGTTAAGCGAATGGCCCAGGGTCACAGAGCTGGTCAGTGAGGAGCCAGGCAGGACCTAGTCTGTGTGACCCCTGGGCTGGGCATTCCCTTCCTCAGCTTCGGTCCCCTGGCTGCCCCCGCACTTGCCGGACTTAGTTCCTGCAGCCCCCGGGCAGGGCCACCTCTTACTCCGCTGCCCGCGCTCACCCACCTGGTGGCTTCGCATGCGGCCCTCCAGGTCCTCCAGCGG